ACCGAACCGCTGAGCTAAATCCCCGGCCCTCGAACCACAGGCCTTTGAGCGAGTCCCCAACTCTGCTCTCCCCTCAGCATGGCTGATGAGTATGGGGCCCTGAAGCGCACCTTCTCAGCGCCCGGCCACAGCACCAGCCTTCTACAGGGCCTGGCCTCCCTCCGCGCACAGGGCCAGCTGCTAGACATCGTGCTCACCGTCAACAGAGAGGTCTTCCACGCACACAAGGTGGTCCTAGCTGCCTGTAGCGACTACTTCCGGTGAGCACTGTGGGGGCCGGGGCCACAGCCAGGGATACCAGGAGGGCAGGGGTGGTGCCGGCCACTTTTCTGGTCCCCTAGACCTGCTGGGTCTTCCTTTGCTGCCACACATGGGGCAGAACCTGTTTGGCAGATAGGGTTGGCCGTGGGCATCTGCTCAGCAGCATCCGCCCTGGGGCATGGCAGCAGGGGTTGGCAGAACTTTCATTTAAAGTCTTTTATTTTTAAAGCCAAGTGGGGATAGAACCCAGGGCCTTTGAACTGAGCTGCATCCTCAGTCTTTCTTATTTTTTATTTTCAGACAGGGTCTTGCTAGTTGCTAAGTCGTCCAAGCTGGGCTTGAACTTGTGACCCTCTGCCTCATCCTCCCAGAGTCTTTATCTGATACCTGCTGTATGACAGGCAGCGGTCTAAGCCTTGGGGATCCAGCATGGCGTCCAGACTCGGGGCACCTAAAGCAGAACAGCCAAGGGGTGGGAGGGGCTGGAGATCCACCTCGGCCTCCTGTCTTGCCAACACCTGTATGTTGGGCTCTGTCCCCATGTCTTGCACAGTGGCACAGGTCTGGTGGGCCTCTGGGTCTGCCATCTTTCCTATGCAGTGGCTGGGCCGGAAGTGAGGCTCCCCAGAGCTGGTGGGTGGGGCAGTTCCCCTCACTAGCTTGGGTCATCGTGGCGCTGCCCCTCAGTCCTCAGTGACTGGCTGGACCACCCTGTCTAGCATGCACCATGGGCCACGCATGCCGCAAGACCCAGCTGCCTGCCCCATCGGCTCGGTGAGGTCGTTTCGGGGAGCCATGACAGCCAAGCCAACTGGGGCGCTATTGCTATTTTTATTTCAGATTTGGGGACGGGTGGGCCAGCCCAGCCAGCAATGCCCTTTAAAGGCTCCCCCACGCTGGTGCTGTAGCCGACAAGGCCTTAAAAGGCAAAGCTCCCTCCCGTCGCCCACGGCCCACTGCCTCTGTCTTCATCCCAGTGCCCGAGGGCCGGTGAGGATGGGAGGGGACAGGCAGGGGCTGGCAGGGGCTGGCAGCACCCTCATCTCAGATGTCCTCCTGCTGGCACCACTGAGGCAGGCCACATGCCACACAACAGTGGGCAGGGGACACCCCACATGCAGGAAGCCTTCGGGGAAGAGTTTGGATTGCAGGAAGTCAGTGAAAGCCAGGCGGGTGCTGGGGGACAGACGTGCGATCCCAGTACTCTCGGAGGCTGAGGCAGGAGGATTGCAAGCAGAGCCCGGTACGAGAATTTAGTGGCTTAGGCGGTTTTTACTTCAAAATACAAAATAAAGAAGGGATGGAGCTCAGTGTGAAAGCCCTGGGTTCAAAAGCAAAAACAAAAAAAGAAAATGTTGTGAGCACCATCTAGCCACTGTGGGGAGGCCTTCGCCCGGCCTCTGAGTGAGCGCTGGTCCCTCCAATGTCCCTGTGGGGCTGTGACCTAGAACCCGAGACTCCCCACTGCCCTCTGCCAGCTTCCTCTGGCGCTGCCTCCCAGAGCAAAGCAGTGTGAAGAGAGCTGGGCTGTTCATGGGTGGGCGGGGCCCCTCCTGTCCTCCTGGGCCCCTCTGTGACCCAGCACAGCCTGAACACGCTCAGCACCACCCTGTCCCCATGGCTGCAGAGACCCAGGCCCAGGAAGCTGGGGCTGCATCGCAGATGGTAAGCAGGAGACGCAGCAGCGGAGAGCACTGGACCCCAGGCACCTCAACCCCACCCCGGGAGTCACAGTGCCAGCCGGCCGCACTCGCGCAGCCCTGTAGTCTGGTGATGTGGCCCAGACAGCGCTCATGTTGTGAGGGGCAGGATCAATGTTCTAGGAGGTTGCATACCTGGGGGTGGAGTAAAATTCTTTCTTTCTAGGAGCGGTGGGGCCTGCCAGCACACTGGGAGGCTGAGGCAGGAGGATGGCACATTTGAGCTCAGCCTGGGCAGCTTAGTGAGAGCCTGTCTCAAAATACGAAATAAAAAGGGCTACAGATGTAGCTCAGTGTGAAGCCCTGCGCTCAGTCCAAGTATTGCCCTCCATCTGTCTCTCTCTTACAAGCTTCTCCCCTCTATGCGGCCGTGCCCCGCGTCCAGTACTCCAAGGCCAGGCCCACCCCAGTACCCTGACACCCCTAGACCGCCGCCCCAGCCCACACTGTCTCCCCCCGCAGGGCCATGTTCACGGGCGGCATGCGTGAGGCGAGTCAGGACGTGATCGAGCTGAAGGGGGTGTCGGCCCGTGGCCTGCGGCACATCATCGACTTCGCCTACAGTGCCGAGGTCACTCTGGACCTGGACTGCGTGCAGGACGTGCTGGGCGCGGCTGTGTTCCTGCAGATGCTGCCCGTGGTGGAGCTGTGTGAGGAGTTCCTCAAGGCCGCCATGAGCGTGGAGACCTGCCTCAACATTGGCCAGATGGCCACCGCCTTTGGCCTGGCCTCGCTGCGCGAGTCGGTGGACGCCTTCACCTGCCGCCACTTCCTGCAGATTGCGGAGGAGGACGACTTCCTGTGCCTGCCGCTTGAGCGCCTGGTCTTCTTCCTGCAGAGCAACCGGCTGCAGAGCTGCGCAGAGATCGACCTGTTCCGCGCGGCCGTGCGCTGGCTGCAGCACGACCCTGCTCGGCGGCCGCGTGCCAGCCACGTGCTGTGCCACATCCGCTTTCCGCTCATGCGGTCCTCAGAGCTGGTGGACAGCGTGCAGACACTGGACATCATGGTGGAGGACGTGCTGTGCCGCCAGTACCTGCTGGAGGCCTTCAACTACCAGG